TATGGCATGGTTTTGTAGAGAATTCAATAAGGAATCTTTTGGAAAAAGATTTGGATCGATAGGATAAAAGCCGGCGGAGTTATATTCAAAATACGGGAGTGCGTTTATTTATGCGCCACCCGTTAGTCTTTGCACAATTAAAGCTAAGCTATTGTTTCTTCTTTCATCAGATACCTAAGAGAGATATTTTATGAATTTAAGGTAGTTAATTTATCTTTTTTTGCTTTCTTTTTTCTAATATTCCTAACAATCTCATTTATCAATAACTTGATGTCATCGTATTCGGATCAACGAATCTTCTTTTTCTTCGTAATTTTCCTCTAGTCTTTCCTCACTAATGAAAATTCTTTTCGTAATAAAGAATTAAACAATTTGTTTTGTTCTCAAAGTTCTCCTTGAAAAATGGCGCCGACAACAAATGTATGGAAAACTTCTAAGTCCAACATACATTTTCCGTTAACTTCTTCCATCTTAGGGCGCAAAATGTGGACCACTGCTCGAAAAATGAATAAGCTTTGGTTAATCTCGAGTATATCAGGAGCAATATCCTGTTTTTAGAACTTTTCTAAGTAAAGTAGTTCTCTAGATCATGAGGCGCACATTTTACACAAAACAGTGACCAAAGGAAAAAAGAAAACGTTTTTCGCGTCAAAACACATAATAAAAGTAATAAAACCTAAACGATCAATACAAATTGAACCGGTATATATATAACTCAACTGCTCAGGACTAAACAACTGTAATACGCTAGATGAATGTTATAAAGAAAAGAGAAAAACCATTGAGCTATGGTAGTAGCACAAGAAAGTAAAAGGCAATCTGGAAAAAGCAGGGTGGGACGAGAATCTTATACCGCTTAAAGTTATTGCTCACATGAAATAGCAATAAAACTCTGTACTTTACTTTTATATTTATAAGAATGGAAATACAAATAGAACGACTCATCGAATTGATAGAAAAAACTATACCGTGATATTGATTTTGAGTTGATGTTGGTTGACTTGGTGTACTACATGTAATCGTTTGCGCATTTGCATTCGATAGACTTTTATTTAGGATGCTACATGGTTGATCGCCCACATTAATTTGAATTGGATACTGTGTACTATCATCAAAGTATTGTCCGTTTATTGTGAGAACAGTACCGCCTTGAGTGCTTCCATTATTTGGTGAAACGCTTGTTATAGCTAAAACAACATATCTTTATATAAATCATCATTCGTATGCATAGTTTAACGTACCGGCATAGCTTTGAAAATTATACAGTTGTTCGCTTCCGCTCACTTGAAATAAATTTGAATTAGCTAACGTTCGTCCATATTGATTGCTGACTAACATGCTTAGATTAAACAAGCCTAAATAATAGAATTGCAGTTAGAAAAACGAAAGTGAGTGATAGATTCTCAGTGTACACACCGACTTCTGATCCTTCGAAATTACACTCAAGATTTGTAGCTGTAAGAGTAGTATACCTAAATTATCGATCGGATTTTAAAAAATGTGAAGTATAATATAGTGTGTTCAACTTACGGTGCACTTGTCGATGGATTAATCAGATTGCATAAATGACCGCCGAGATATACCCTAAAGAAGATAATTTGCAACAATTTCATCTTCACAGGAGAACACTTACCTTGTTATCAATGGATTATTGTCTTCTGAACAACCATCTAGATCTCGAGAATAACAAGCTGTTTGCCAAGCTCCAGTGACGTTAATTAGAGTTTCTAAAATTCACGCTGTTCAGAAAAAAGAAAGTTTTTTATCCTTATTTTATACTAACGAGGTGTGCCTGAGCGTGGTATGATTCCGCTGATAATTGGTGTCTGACTTAAACTTGGTGCAAATGTTGCTTGTTTTGGATCGTAATACTGATAGAGTGGAATCAAATTACCATTGACGTATACACGAATTTGATAAAGACTTTCTAGCATCACTCTAAAAAACACATATTCTGGAGCAAGTTCGTCAGAGATGGGATTCAAGCACTTCAGAAACTAGTCTGTGCATTCTTTCTAAAAGGCGTGACAAATTCTCTGAAATACAAGTACGAAAAAATAGGAGAAACAAATTCTAAGTATCTTTTAAGATATGCAAGAAAACTGATCGTTAGTAATGTCCAATAATGTTAATAAGATCCAGTCTGCTTTTTAGCAATTAAACTTACGGTGTATAACATGTTATTTGTGTATTCGTTGTTTTATCCGTGTGAATTTGACAATCATACACTGAGTATCCGTCAACCAATTGTACTAGGTTTGATGTCGAAGTTGATGGTGCAGTACTAAAGCTATTTTGTGCAAATCCTTTGATACGAAAGAAAAACGTTATTGTATGATGTAAGAACGTTAATGAAGATATACACATACGGTTTCCATATATCCACAACATTGTTCCACCATTTAGTGAGCCACCATTCTGCGTCCAAGGTCCATTTTTTCGGACAGTTGCATATATAACAATAGCATCAGTCGGTACTGAATAACACATTATATGATCAATTTTCTGTTTTTCCTATCAGAATAGTACTCACCTGTACAAAATGACCATTGAGTAGCTAATAATCCATTAACTTGAACAGCACACTGTGGCCGGAAATCGATGTTATTTGGTCCAAAAATAGTACACTTACTGTATGAAACCTGCATAAAAATATTTCAGTATGTTTTCCCGTTGAATACAATGTGCACAAAAGAGTCTTACTCCTTGGTAAATAAATGGAAATATGCACGGCAATTGACTTGATGTAGTCACTTAAAATAATGAAATTCAAATACAGTTTTCATCTATACTTTATCCAAGAAGATCCAATCAGATATATTCTGTGTATTATCTTTTATTCAAAGATGTGATTCAAGGGCGACGAGTGCCTGATCAAAATTTTGACTGATATAGAAAATTAAATCTTGTTAGTAGACCAGATAGGTAGTTTGTAGCTAATTATGTGCAATAACAAAAAAACTCTATAGTCTGTTGACTTTCTGATCTGTTGGTACACCAGACAATGTTTGTACCCAGACAATTACTCGATCAAGTCTCATTGAAGAATAAAGCGAGATCGTCATTCAGCGGACTGTTTCAAAGTTAAATACCTGTACACATTGTCGGTGGATTGACATTCGAATCGAAAACTGGATCCCACATGTATGAACATGTTTGTAAACCTGAAATAATCAGTAAATGTCCATTATTCAACCTTCGATTACCCTTCTTATGTACTGTACGATGACGGGAACAGATGAAATAAGATCGAGGACGCAACGTAAGTCCACTGGGCTCCTAAACTGTCCTTCGCAGTAAAAGTTTTAGTCGAGGTTTCTATTGAGGTCGACTTTTCTAGCTAGGAACAGAGTGAATTCTTCCATGGACAGTGTTGCAATGGGTGTCATAGAGCTTTGTTCCTTTTTTGTCGTTTCCAACTGTCATTTCAACTTTATTACAAAAAGTGATGTTAATGCACGTTTACAGAGCTACGCCAATATTGAGCAAAACGCAAGAGATCAACAGTTCTCGCTTTGATTTCATGTAGAGGGAGGCCAATGAAGCAGACAGCGAAAAACATCTGTTATACACGCGTACGTTTGAGTATAGATGCCCAAATATGGCAAAAATTCTTCTCTTATCTTTTTTCTAAGCAAGACCATATGATTGATATGGGCTTTTATTTTGTCCCGAGAGTTATACACTCAGGGGTGGACTTATATTGCGTCCACTGGATTTATCCGCTGTATACTGACTGTTAGCAATGCTGTATTTAATGTTTGTTGACCTTCTGTCTTGATCACGGGAGGCTTTTCCTTACTCCATCGCTAACACCACATCTTTTTTAGAGAATTTGTTTTATAAACAAATCGTAAAAGCATCGCTCTCAAGCATTTTGCAATAGTATGTACATGATAACAGACAAGCGTACGAAAAGAGACAAAAACATAGTAATACATTGGACCTATAGTAGAAGTTGAGAGTTGTCAATGATTGATTTATCTTACTTTGCTTCACTTTAGTTTAATGGAAAAACGAAAAAAAGATATAAGCTACAACTGTGTAATGCTACGAATTTTAGAACTTCAGAAACTGGCGGTAGTTAATAAGAATGATGACATACAGAATAAGATATCTCTTATCTTTAAATCAAAATATGTGCATCGATCTACTATAATGTATGCGACATAAACTAAAAGACTAATCTTTAAGTACTAGAGATATCTTAGAACACTTACTTGGTGATATGAAGAATGATATTAAAATGAAACACGTAAAAAGAGACGTCATCATTTCTGCTTGTAGGATGGTCTCTTCCTTCGTGTGCCAATCAACTAAACTTTTTTACTGTCAAAAATGCCTATATATATCTTTTGAAAGTTTATTGATTTAAAATTTTAGTTTCTATTTTCTCTAAAATGTATTTACAGGTCGCAATGTCGACAGAATTTTGTTGTTTACATAATCTCTCTTTTTTTGCTATGGCAAAATATTATGAACTTTGCTGTTTTTAAAAGCGTACAATCATTTTCTTCATATAAATAAAAAGTAAAAAGAAAAAATTTGCTTCTTGTGCAGAAGAAAATGAAATTTTAATCAACAGATACTTGTTATTGTCAACAGAAGCACTATACGTGCAATTCATAAATTATTGCCTTATGCAACAAAATCACTTTTTGGTTGTCTCAAAGGATAAAAATATTTAATAAACGAATATCCGAACTTATACATTTGTTTTTATTTAAGGTACTATTTTGTTTGTTGTATAAAAAGATTTAATTTCTTTTTTCTATTATTTAATTCCAATAAAGTTCAATACGAACATACTGAGTCAAATCACTTCTTACCGAACTGCGCATGAAAAAGCCTTTGAAAGTGTCATTAGAGGTCAAGATACAAACTATATATCCTTATTCTAAAATCGGTCTCGTTAAGTGCAATTTTTTTGAAAGGAAAAATTGTTTAGCTAATTGATGTTTGCGACAAGAGATTATTGTTTCTATCGGTAAGTAAAAATGACGACGCCTCTTTTCACGTGTTTGGTTTAGAATTATCCACTAAGCTTGTCTGGTGAAAAATACGGTTTTTGTACACTAAAGACTTTTCTTGCAGTGTGTTCTTTTCCAGAAGGATATTCACAAAATCGAATTTTTCATGTTTCACAAAAGTTTCTCATTAGCTGTTTTTGACCACTCTGCTTGTTACAAAAACGTGTAACATTTCAAGGACTAAAACGTCATATATGTACTTTTCATTTTATTTTATATAGACTGCTGCTTTTGTCGGTACACGTTAAAAACTTGAGGGTTTATATCATAGAACACACACCTCGAATGAAGAAAATAAGTGAAAAAGAAAGAAAGTTTGAACACAAGACCAGAGCTCTTTTACGATAGATATGGAAAAGAAAAAAGATAAACTTTAATGACTCTACTAACTCTCTACTGCCTATTTTAAAATCAAAATTCTTCCTACTTGAACTATTTTGATGAAACTCATGAAATCATCGGATTTGAAATATCTGCAGGTTACTTTAAACGTATCGTTTAATTATGACAAAAATTCAGTCTGATTGGAATTACAGTTTTAAAAAGACATACGTAAAAAGAGTGCAGAACTGCACAATGTTTTGTTTAATTTATCTAACAAATAAATATAACACAGATGAACGCTAGCTTTTAATGTTTACTAAGATGATCATCAGCATTAGCGTCCCTCTCTCTCTTGCAACCAACGCTAGACAGTCGTCATCGTCCTTCAATTGTTGTCCTACTTTCCATTTTTATCACCCTCTCTTTGTTAGTAAATTCTCTTTTTATGTATATATGATTGTGTTTTTATTCATTCTATCGATTCGAAATATATCGTTAGAACAGAGTGGAGTGTTAGGTCTTCATGCATGCAGATACATACACAGAAATCGGAGTATAGTCTAATAATCAGGTAAACATGACGACAGTGAACAATATCAGCGTACATATGTATATATATGACTCTTTACCCTTACTTTCTATCCATTCTCAGTTTTACTTTCCCCAGTCAGCTGGATATTTTCGTCTATCGGTAAAAATGTTATTATACAAACGTGTACGTCAGAAGGGGCCGTCCTAGACTAGAATCTGAAGTGTCTACGGAAAAATTGTATTCTTCAAGACTCTCTCGCTTTCTTCCAGGTTTGTCGATTTTACCGATAACCCCTCGGTAACAAGCAAGAATACTTCACCAAGACAATCGCAAACTTTGCATGGGCACTAGATGGGCTCGAACGCAGTACCTTGGGAATACGTTGTCCTAGTCATCAGCTAATCTAGCCATGTCATAGGGAAAAGTCTTAGCTACAAAATGGGACCCAGAGAATTTTGTTCGCTGACTCTTGATTTCCGACGGTACGCTATTGAGGACG